TGAGAGAAGCCCCCATGCTTCAACTTAACCAGCCCAACAAAGATTTCTACTTAAGTGGTTGTCTATTGCGATTAGGGTGTTAGAGGCTTCCCAGACCCAGGCGGGGTACAAGTTCTTGTGAGGAGTGTTTTTTCAGCTTTATAGTCAGACCTCTCTTTTCACTTCTTTCATTGTGGCATCTTCATCATTTATTCAGCAGATATAAGTCTCACCCCTTTGATCTCTATCTTATAGGGTCCTATAATTAGAGTTTCATTCCTTTTGACCCTAAGGCTACCGAGGCTCTCTCAGATGACACAATTCACGGATTGCTAACAAGGATTTTCTGGTTGTATGGGGTCGACTACCTTCACGACCAGATAGGCTCAGAGTCCTATAGCTTAGGATGACAGATTTGTGGTATCCTGACTCAGCTATCTCTATCCAATTAGGACTACTCTAATCTTCCTTTGTTGAGCCCTTTTAAGCCCTGTTGTCATTTGCTACTTTGTTGATGTCTTCTTGACAACCCCTACTATCGATAGGCAAGTTACTCCTTTAGGATACGGTGATTCACCCTCTGCCCTTATGACTCGATCAGCATTGAAGCATAGGGATGTTCCTGTCAAGTCGACTTGGTTATTTCTCCGGGCCTTGCTTATCTGCGTGCCACCGTCCACATATGGATTTGAGGGACTCACCCACTCCCCATGTGGTTCAATATAGGCTCCCGAGGTGGTGAGATGCTCTTGGTTGAAATAGTCATTCTTTTGACGACCCATTTACCGATTATCACAATAATGTAAGGAAGACTTCATTTATTGAGAGTATTTTTGGGTATCCCCTAAGATGGTAATTAACCAAAGGAATACATACATTTAGGATTACTCTTAACCCCGAAACCAAAACAATATTCTTTTTGGTTATCTGGTTACGTGTTTCGAGGTATTTAAATCCAATCTTGTTTGAACGTATATTCTTGACCTATCACGTGAGGATTATCTATACATAAGCATTTCATGTTTCATTTTAAAATTTGTTTGTATATTTTTGTTATAAATCTCGTCTTTTTCAATTCATCTCCTCTTCAAGTTATTCCTATGATCCGAGAGTGAGATTTACTTGAAAAGGGGTATCATACGACGACAATATATATACATACAAGCTGACGACTCCGAGTTTTAAAAAAAAATCAAGAAAATGTCTGCGACCATATGACCTCTAAGAACGCGGAAGGGTAGATTTTGACTGATGGAAAATTAGTGTACCAGTCAATCGATCGGTTGATAGTGGTGAATTGACCTTCGGGGGAATTCCAGATCTTCGTCTTAGGTCCCTGAGAAGGAACCCAACCCGAAGGAGAGCCCTTACTTTTCTTTGGAAGCAGAGGAGGCAGGAGAGTTGATTCCGTGGTTGTTTCTTTGCCTCCGTGGTGTCGAGTCTCGGGAGTTTTTCCCTCGGGATCAGTCACAGATTCGGTCTCCCGGGAATCACTGGTCGACTGACCTCACTCCTGTCGTAAAGATCAATAAACAAGACTCCTAGACTGGGGGCATCACTTTTCTCCTTACTTCTCCTAAAGAACGTTTCTTATTTGAACTTTCCCAAGGTTGCTCAGACGGTCCCCCAGTTTTTCGGCGACCAAAAGGAGCTGCATCCAAAAGATAAGTATAAAGTTAACGGGGGCCTTACACTTCCTGACAATAATGGTCACTTCCACAGTTGAGACCTTTTGAATCATAATCGTGGTAGCAGAAATGTTAAAGCGGAACTCCTCACCTACTGGGCCAATTTTTCAGTCTGCCACCCCAGTTGGTCTCCCTTCGGCAACCGTCACTCCCCACTGGATCTCATCCGCTTTGGCTTCGGCCTTGACCTTCCTCCTGTCCAATCGAGCAGCCACCTCCTTCGACCGTCGGACCTCCACAGCGTTAGAGGAGGCCCATAGCTACACCGTCATCTGATTGAACACTTTCGGAAATAAAATTAGATCTACAATCGTCGGACCGATGTGTTGGAAAACTGAGAGCGACCCTCGATATTGGCCCCCTTGAACCGAGAGTAGTCGGTACCCTTCTTCTTTTGGAAAAGAAGCTAGATGAAACTGTTCCCCCCCCCCCCCCACCCCCCCCCAACCCTCGGTAAACGAGGCAATGAAGAACTTGTGTCTCCAATCTTTGACCTAGCGTTCCAAGTCGGTGAATTAAAACTGATTGGTTGTTCTGAATTGGACATAACCGTTCGATTCCATGTGAAATGAGAACATGTGGCTAAATAGATCAATGAAACATGGAATGCCATTTCACCGGCAAAAGATTATGTATGTCAGGATCGCCATCATGGAGTTCGGCTTAATCTGCACAAGGATGGCCCCATACTGAATAAGAATCAATCTGAGTTTGTGAGACAGAGGCAGCTGCAACCCACATTAAAACTAGTCTTGGTGCACCACTAGCTCATTACCATATCTCTTGGTAGCCCTTGCATATGGACGGGAGGCCCGCAGCTTAATGGTCGAACGCAAAATAAAAGTTTCTCTGATGAAAGTGACTTTCGACGATGACAAAATGGACCATTTGTCCGCGGCCACGAGACCGAAGGTCTGAGTAGTCATCTTCGGAACCATATGAACACCAAAGAAATAAATAATGAACTGGAGATAGAAGAAGAATCAACTAGCTAAAAGGGGAAAGACAGAAGGCACGCTCATGGAAGATAAAACGTCTTTTGTGAAAATAGAGGAAAATGTCTTGCCAAACAAAAACATTGAGATTTGCAAAAACAAAGATTTTATTTATCACAGAAAACATGATTACATAGGTATTTACTCTGACTAGAAATATTCACAAGTTGATCCTTGACCACCTCAGCCAGGACTAAACCCCTCCACACTAGTCTCAAAAACAATGTCTGGTCACTAAGCTTAAATTGATTCACTCGATCGGCCTTAGAATTGACCCTCACAAAAAATGCATCCTCCCAAAGCTCAGCAATCTCAAATGAAGATAGGATGTTTCCCCACGCAACTCCTCTAGCCTAGCTTGTAAGTCTCAGTCCTACCGGGCCAGAGTCGTCTTCAGTTCCACCAGATGATATGTTAAAGCCTCGATGGATGACCAACGCCCCTCAAAAGTTTCACCCTAAACCTCGTCTGGTTCGACCAGACGATCGACCACGTCCTCTTCACTAGCGGTCAGTCCCTTGGGAGCTATAATTGTCCATAAAGTCAGTCACCGCCGCCAGTGCCGACCAGCAATTGCCCGACGTGAGGATCCTCGTCTATGAAAGGAAAAACAGTCAACGAACATCAGGTTGTTCAAAAAAAAAAGAAAAACAAGAAACATAACAATTTACCCAAGATCCAATTTACTTCGAACCATGTTGTTACAACCACATCAAAGGATGAGAAATCATATGCCGACCACATCTCGCCAAACGGAGGGTAATCTCCACTGACTCGTTGAATATCAACTAAGAGAGGAATATTCGTAACAGTTGGTTGGACCTAAACATCAAAAGTTCTCGTCGATGGGTCGATCACTAAGACCCCCTGCTCCTCACCTGCCTCGAGTAAAGCCTTCCCCAGTGCACCGCAAACCGAATCAAACGAATCTTCCTCCCACACTTCTTCAATCGGTTTTAGCCTTTTGGCCAATCTCTTCCTCGACAGCTCACCCTTGAGTTGGCACGACCTGATCCTAAAAGCATTTAGCATCCTGGTCTTATTAACGGATTTTAGCACAGAGTCAAATCATTTCTCGATAACAAAATTGTGAATAACAAACAAAGGCCGAGAAAAGGAACAAACTTGAGATGATGAAGCTACCCCCAGAGCCTTATATACAATAGTCATGGGCATGTAAATCCAGAGAGTTTATTAATGTTATTAAATAAATATTGTTATAAAGTTCATTTATTTTAAATTTTTTTTTCTCAGTTGTCACTATCAGGAAGTAAGAAAATTGAGAAAATTAACATGTACACAAAAAACATGGCTCGCACGGATCTCGAAGCGGCTTGATGCATGAAATCAAAACTAGAATTTATGACTAAAGAACTCGGGACCAGCTGGATGGCATCAGGTCAATCGACCCAAGGACAATCTTGGCCAACCAATAGCAAAAAAGCATTTGCGATGGAAAATGTGAAGGCATATGATCCTTCAACCAATTAATTGGAGCCCGACCTCCTGGTCGACTGGCCACTCCTGACCGACCATCAACAAAGATCGATCGACTAGTATGAATAGCCATCTTCTCGGGTTCAACCAGTCATCTCATATCTTGCTTTAATATGTAAATCGAAAAAGTATCAGCAAAAATCGCAAAGCATCTCATGGATGGTGGAAGAAGTGTCGTGACCCTACGGGAATTACCAAGGACGATCCGGAACCACGCGCTTAGTCGACCAACCTACATGTACCGGGAAAACGGAGCGCCTCAGACGAATGAAGAGAAGTTTATCTCTGAAGAATCCATTAGACCAGATCCATTCGAATGAATATGTCGCCTTTCAACCCGGATAAACCAAGAAGGTAAAGTGGGTCCTCCCATTCCATAGCAGTTGACAAGGATCCCTAGCAGGAAGTCGCCAGGCTTGAAGGCCACCCGGCCTAATAGCCGCTCGGCTATATCCATGGGCCCCACGGGCCATATTCATGTACATACTAAAAAACCCACGTCATACCAACAACATGTAATTGTACTATGACCCATTCCCATAAATAAAGGGTTCACTTTATGAATAAAGGATATGTAAATTAATATTCATTATTGTGTTATTACTCTCCTCTCTCTCTCTCTCTCTCTCCCTATTCCTCAGCCCTCTATTCCTTGAGCATGTCTCTCAGATAATTTTGGATTCATCACTATACATATTCTCTCTCGGAATACATCCCCTGTCGTTAATTCAGGCCACATGAATTTAGTTCTACAAATTATTAGGTATAAATCAATACCAACAAAACAAGGAAAAATTACAGCGGGAAAAACATAGAATAGAATGAAATCGTGATTGCTCACCACATCACCACGAGAAATTCCCAAACAGTCAAGCGCGGACGCGAGGCGGAGACATCTCTCTCGAGTTTCCCTCCAAGTGAAGCGCAAATCGTCTTGGATGATGGAGACGCGGTCACCGTAGACAGCAGCGGCCCGTTCGAGGAAGCTCAGAGGAGTGAGCGGAACGTAGTTTGCCGAGCAGCGAACGGAGCCCTCCATCACCCGCGTTCTCCGGCGATTACAAGTTTTCGGTATTAAAGTCCATCGATACTAAAGATCATTCAGATAACATGATCAGGCGGACACTCCCAACTATGGGTGTAAACTAACCGAACACGAACGAACAAAGCTTGTGTTCGTGTTCGGTTCGTTTAAAATTTAGTTTGTTTGAAATAAGCTCGTGTTCGTTTCTTAACGAACGAACCGAACACGAACCGAACACGAGCTGTTCGCGAACGACGAGTTAGTTTGACATCTCTAATATTAATATATAAAAATAATATTATATATTAATTATATAACTTATATTATATAAATATTCAATATCTATATTAGTATATTACTACTATAGTATATTAATATATTATTATTATTATTTTATTATATATTATAATTTATAAAATTTAATTTTTTAAAATATCATAAATTATATATATATATAATTATTTTAAACTATTTTATATTTCGAACAATAACGATCCGAACACGAACGAACGCATCACTGTTCGTGTTTGGTTCGTTTAACTAACCGAACGAAAAAAATTTGTTCGCGTTTGTCTCGTTTACTTATCGAACCAATCGAACACAAACTCATTGACGAACCGAACACGAACTGTTCGCGAACAACGAGCTTTTTTGACAGCCCTACTCCCAACAAGAAATACGACTTGATGATATGTTAACCGGATAAAATTAATAAGTCATCAACAAATTAATTATGCAGCATTAATGTCAAAATATTTTTTTGAATAAAAAAAATGTAAATTTAATTAAAAGTTATTCCGAGTCCAAATTTTTGCAAATTTATAGTCAAAATGACCAGCTCGACGAGTGGACCCAATGATACTAAAATTAATCTATTTTGAGTCAAATTAAATTCACATTAAGCAATTAAATCACTTTAGAAGCTTTCCAAGCATGCTTCGAAAATTAAATGAATATCGAATCTGACGAGCTTGTATTTGAATCAAGCATCTCGACAAGACAAATCCAACGAGTGATTTAATTTTCAAAATATCTTGTCGAATCTGACGAGCTTAAATGTCTTGTCGAGACGCTTGATTTAAATATAAGCTCGTCAGATTCGACAATCATTTAATTTTCTAAAGAACAAGCTCGACGAATGAACCCAACGATGCTAAAATTAGTATATTTTGAGTCAAATCAAATTCAAATCAAGCAATTAAATCACTTTAGAAGCTTTCCAAACATATTTCGAAAATTAAATGAATGTCGAATCTGGAAAGCTTATATTTGAATCAAGCGTCTTGACAAAGACAAATCCAACGAACTCAAGCTCGCTCAATTCTGACATCATTAGGGGACTCAAATGTTCATCAAATGCATATGATCAAAGGAAGCTCTCCGGACCATCCAATTAAAATGGTTTATATTCCTGCATTAACTTCCCTGGAACTATATGAATAGAGCCTCACCCCTCTCATAACGGAGGATGAGAGGAAGAGCTTGAAGCTTTGAGACGGAGATGAAGAATAACAACACCACCGCTGACTGTTGTCGATCAACGTTGACTACTATCAATCATTATTGATTACCACTGACTTTCGTTGACCATCGTCAATCATAAATAATCTTCATCGACCATCACCGAATGTCGTCAATCACCACCCACCATTGAATGCTGACAATCACCGTCAATCTCACGTCGACCATCACCGAACGCTGTCAATCACTATCGGTCACTGCCTGTTTCTAGCAAAAAATATATCAGCTTGTCGACGTTGTAACTTAAGAGACCTAGTAACCCTTTCCCACATGTGGGACAAGTGGTTACAACTGTAATTATCTTTCTATAGTGAAACCCTTCAACTGGGTCAGAACCCGTGGTTTTTTCTTTTCTGGGTTTTCCAAATAAAAATTTCTGGTGCATTCTCAGCTGTTTTATTTCATCTAAGTGTGTGATGAATTATCATACAACACTAAGACGACAATCCATTACTCTATCGCCATGAATCTTCTAGCATGCATCAGTTTGACACCGTTTGTGAGAAATAAAGCATTTCCATCAATTAAATACTTGTAAGAATTGTTGTATGGCCATCAGGGGCAACACTCGTAACAACGAAGCATCCTACTCCAACACCCATTATTCCATGAGACAGTCACAGAAACAAGGTCATCAAGCCTCTACATTCTTATAGTCCAAAAAGCATTACCCCGCTGACGAATGTGGCTTGGGTCATTCTCTGGAAGATCGAGTACGTAAAATGGAGGAGTCTCAACACGAGATTCTTCATCTTCTATGCTGGGAGCGATAATCGCAACCCATGGAACTTACTTACCATCAATTTAACATTCAACAGGAAATAACCCACTCACCGGGTTCTCTCCCAATGGTGAAACCATTCCCCTGTCGAGATAAGACACCGATCTTTTGAACATTACAAGTTCTCTTCATCCATCTTATGCAGCTCACCTGACATCGCCGCACGTTACTGTTGCTTTTGGTAATATCATTTGAGATGAGCTACAACGCCTAGTTCGAAAAGAGTTCCCTCTGGATAAAAGAGATCGCTTCCCTGCTCGCCGCAACTTTTAAGAATTCTCTCTTTTGGTTGATGCAGTTCTGTGACACCCTATCCCAGTAGGTTTAAAACTTCCAAACATCGGGCAACTAACCAATACTAGCACGTCAACCACTATCAAACCATCAGACACATTCATCGTATTTCTGATGTGCTACTCTATCAAGTGTTCCCGGTGAGTCTCAAGGGTCAAGCTCGCACATAGTTCTACTCTCTCTCGGGGGCACCATCAACATCTTATTCGTGGACCAGTTCATTGCAAAATAGAAGGATCACAATGATTCATCTCACTTATCAAGAGATAGTTAGAATGAGGGTGAATCCCTTTTAGGACTACTTCCGCAGGTTATCCACTGAAGCTTGCTAGATTCCTAAAGAGGATCCGGAGTTACTGAGAGGAGTCTTACTTAGAAGTCCCCGCCAAGGACCTTTCAATTCATCACTAATGCGGGAGATGGTGCGCTCTTATGATGATCCCGTTCATCGAGTTGAAGCTCAAATATCTTTAGACAATGCCATCAATGCACACAAAGAACAATTGGACTGATTGAGGAGCAAGCACAAGAATAACGTCAGGGATACCGATCAATTCACACATCGAAAAAAGTTTGGACCAAAGGGGAATCATGAGTCATGATCAAAAAAAGATTACACACCACTCAACAAGTCACATGTCAACATCCTAATGACCATCAAGAATGAAGAGGTCATCAAGTGGCCAAGGCCGTTAAGAAATCCATATGGTGAAGACCAGCTTAATCTTGTCATATCCACCAGGAAAAAGGGCATTCGACAGAAAGATGTTTTCAATTAAAAGAATAAAATGAACGTCAGATACTCTGAGGTCACATAAGTCGCTACTTACAAGAACAAGGTGAGGTGAATCATAAGAAAACCGTCGAAGTTATCGAATAAGAAGTACAACTTCAAATGATCTTATTTGAATAAAAGAATGACTTATAAACTCCTAATTTTATTTTTATAAACTTTTCATGTTGCTTTAAACTGTCATTTCAGTGATTTTTTTTTATTTTCTCATGAAATAATTTTGTGTAGAAAGTCCCCTTAAGGAAAAGAGGTAGACAAGGTCTCCATCCATGCCCATAAAAGTCAAGCTCAAAAGGTAAGACTCGACGGGAAGATACGGTACCCTTAGAAATCGAGCCCAAGAGGCAAGGCTCGATGGGAAGCTACCACACCTCTAGAAGTCGAGCCCAAGTGGCAAAGCTCAATAAGAAGATACATTACTCCTAGATGTTGAACCCAAGAGGCAAGACTCGATGAGAAGCTACCATGCCCCTATAAGTCCAACCCAAGAGGCAAGGCTAGACGGGAAGATGTAGCACTCCTAGAATTCAAGCCCAGGAGACAAGACTCGATGAGAAGCCACCATGCCTCTGAAAGTCGAGGCCAAGAGGCAAGGCTTGATGGAAAAATAAGGTACTGCTGAAAGTCAAACCTAAGATGCAATACTCGATGAGAAGCTACCATGCCCCTGGAGGTCGAGCCCAAGTGGCAAGATTCGATGACAAGATACAATACTCCTAGAAGTCAAGCCCAAAAAGCAAGACTCGATAAGAAGCTACCAGTCCTCCGGAAAAATGAGCCCAATATGCAAGTCTCAATGGGAAGCTAGTAGTGGACATGGTCCTTACTAGAAAGGCTCTATGAGAGAAAGTGGTTGACAGGGTCTCCACTCAAAGAACTCATAAGTCTACAAGCCTCAGAAGGTAAAGGTACATCAAAGACCTTAGAATTCTACAAGCCTTGGAAGGCACAAATACATCTAAGACCTCAGAAGGCTACAAGCCTCAAAAAGCACAAGTACATCAAAGACCTCAAAATGTTACAAGCTCAGGAGGCACATATACATCAAATATCTCAAAAGGTTACAAACCTTAGAAGGAACTAGTGAATTTCAAGCTCTTAGAAAGCACAAGCCTCAAAAGATACACGCCAAAAAATATACAAATCTCAAAAGACATGAGCCTGAAAGATACACAATTCTTTTTTATAAAGCACACGTGCTAACTTTAATTGCATAATTTTGCATGATTGAGAAGCCACAGATATATCAGAAGCAACGTCAAAGACGTGCAAACATACTCTTCATTACCGTGTATAAATGTCACATCAAACAATTGAAAGGCCACAAAGACCAACATATATTTGTACAAGGGCTACAATAAATCAACTTATCTTTGAGTAGAGTCGGCACTGCCTTCCCGAAATTCTAGTACTTTTGATGATTATCAGGGGTCTCCAGATATTTCCACCACATAAGCATGAAAATCTACCCTCAAAATGAGACAAAAAAACTACAACATTTCTTCATCACCTCCAGAATGTGCAAGAGCGACGAGGGAATCCCCCCAGGAAAGCGCGATATCAACAAATAAGAAGTTTCCCTTTCTCACATGTTAGCAAGAAACGACGAATTTCTTCTGTAGCGTAATGCGAAAGAAGATTTCGTTGCTCGCCTACTACGTAGGACGGGGACGACTTTCCTCTGCATCACAAGGTAAAAAAAGATTTTGTTG